TATTTATTTAGTGTATGTGTGTGTGTGTGGCCAGCTCAGCCCACCAGGGGGCAGCCCTGGCTGGCATGTGGTGCTGGGGGATTGAACCGTGGTCCCTTTGCTTTAGCTAAATTTGTTCTAAGTAGGTGCTTTAGACCACTGAGCCATCTCACCAGCCCAATTTAGAAGTAATTGCCCATAATGAAAATATTTCTGGAGAACCGGGTGCATAGGAACAGAAAACACTGATGCTTTTATTCTGAAATAACATCTACTTGAAAATCTGTCCTGCCAGTGTAAGCCTACTAGTTCTTCAGATAGTTTACTATTCTTCGTTTGGCTTCCTTAAAGTTTAAGTGACACAATCCAAAGCTGAGCTACTTCAAAATCAATCACCTAGTGAGGAAAGTTAGTGCTAAATACCAGCACCCAGTGCAGAAAAACATTTAACTGAGTAAATATAAAGATAAAATACATTTTTTAAAACAATAAAATTAATTCTTGGGCATGATTTGAGTTTCTGCTGTTTTCATAAATGGGTAGCCTTCCTCCTCCCTCACGTTCTCCAAGAAAGCTGTAGTAAGCTTTCTACGCAAGTTCTCCTTTTAATCAACCCATGTGTTTTGGTAACTTCTCTAGGCGAGATTAATATTCTCAATTTGATATTCGAAATAGGCCACGTATTATAAACAAAGTAAAACCTTGCAACACACTCAATTACATTTATCTTTGAAACTATAAATAAATTATTCATTTTAGAAAAAAATATTAAAAAAAAACCTATCAATTCTTCCAGGCATGATGGCATCTGCCTGCATCCCCAGCTACTTGGGAGGCTGAGGCAGGAGGATCACAAGTTTAGCACCAACCTACACAACCTGTGAAGACCTTGTCTCAAAATTTAAAAAAAGAGCTAGGACCTTCAGCACCTGCCTGGTATTTGCAAAGCCCTGGGTTTAATCCCTAGTCGGGCAGAATAAATAAAGAAAAACAAAAACCTATCGACTCTAAAGAGTATATTATTAGTTTAGTTAAAAAAAATACAAAGAGCTCTGCATACGCGATTTTCTTCAATCTGTTTGTTTGGGCCTCACTTACGCAATTCAGGCTGGCCTCACCCAAGTGTCCCCACCTCAGCTCCTGAGGGCTGGCTCCGCAGCAGCAGGCTCCACGCTGCCAAGACTTTGTCTTCTCCCTAAATTGCCTCAGCCTTGCTCAGGGCCCATGGGCCTGTGGCAGGTTACCCAACATGCACATTTCAAAAAACTATACTCTAATTCCAGAATAAAGCTCCTATTGGTAGCTTTCTGGAAGATCCCATTTCAGTTGAAAATAGAAAACTTTACTACTCTGTCAACTCAGAAGAGTGGAAATGTGGCGGGAAGTCATAGGGCAGCCCATCATTTTCTGAGGAGAGTCTCCGCTCTCCTCAGAAGGCCAGCAGGAAGGCAGGTTGCGTTAGCTCTTTTCATTGAACAGGTAACAGTTATGAAGAAGCTGCAGGAGCGACCAGTTTATCTGAAGCACAGTTTAGTCAGTGAGGGAGAGCTGAATCTTGTTCAGTCTTAAAATGAGAACTTACTTTAGTAAAATCAATGCTGAATCCGCCTTGACAAAATCCCTGTCCATCGGCATCAATATTTTCTAAAATAAAAAGATTGGAAATATACACAAACCCAAAACAAACAACACAAAACAACGCATGAGAAAAATCTGGTATCACCACAATCGTCACATAAGGGGCTAATCTCCGTGAGCGGTCATTCATTCGGCACTTGGTTATTTCCACGTTCTGAGCAGGTTAGTACCCGTGTTCACCCGCACTGTCTCCAGGGAGACGGAAACGGAGGCTAAGGTGGCTGGACTGGTCCCCAGGAAACAGAAAAGTTACCCAAAACATCAAATTTATGGCGTTTTTCCTATTAAATAAGTCATAGGAAGATTATAGCTTATATCCCATCTTAGCACACATACCATGTATGTGAAATATAGAACTGAAACAAAAATTTTACTATTATCATAATAAGACCTGATTTTTTTAGCTTATTATATTCCATTTTATTTTCAGACAAATTACCAAGGTGACCCCACACATAAAACACTGATGAATTTGGATTTGCTAGTTAAAAATCCCCATCTGACGTGGCCCATTCTCCCTATTGCCCTATGCACGCTAGGTCTGTGCTGAGACAAGGCACAAATTCGAATGTTCTTTGAAGGCGAAGTCTGAAACTATCCTCACAATAAATTTAGAGCTGGGGTCTCATTAAAGCAAACATCTTGGATGAGGGAGGGGAGCGAAGAAAAGAAAGAAGGAAAGGAAAAAAAAAAAACATATGAGTACATAGACAGGATGGCTTGGATAACTGCCCTGCTGATTTCTATTGGTCTGCTGAAATGAACAGTGAATGCTTAAAATTTTTTTGACCAATTTTGCATGCTTGAATCTGGTATTCTGCACACCCAATTTGAAGACAACAATATGTAATATAGCAACCATTGTTGAATTTCTACTACTTTGTTTCATGAAATTCTGTATCATTTCTATGTTTTCTTTTTTTTTTTTAACTATTTTTTATCCTCTTTAAAAAAAAAAAAAAGAAGAAGAAGAAGTGTAGTCGTGGCCGAGTGGTTAAGGTGATGGACTTGAAAAAAAAAAAAGTACTTTCCCCCATAGCTGAATCAATAATTTTGATTTTCTGCAATCTGAACTGCACTCCTTTCCCTTCCCCCTCAGGAAAGAAAACTAATTTTGAGTTAAAATAATAAGCTAATTAATTCAAATGAACTTTATTTATGAGCAACAGAGTACCTAGAACAGAAAGAAGGATAGCTCTAAAGTCTTTGCTTTGTTTCATTTGAGGAAAGGAAAGAATGGGGAAAACACTGCCCTTCAGTTAGCAAAACATTCTCACAGCCAATGTTACCAATATAGAAAGAGTTACGCTGAATTGGTCATCAGATACGGCATTACTATCCACAAAGGAACCGAAGACATCTATTTTCAGTCATTGGGGAAACTTTCAAGAATTTTTTAGCCAAACAATTGTACCAAAATATCTGAGTCCATTTTCAAAACCTGGGAAGTGTCCCAAGACTATGCACTGACTACCCAAATTTAAAATACTTTTTTTTAAAAAAGAAAATGTTCTCAAGTGTGTAATTCTACCCCTGTGTAAATTTTTGTAACCAATGGGGGGAAGGAAAAATGTGCTGCGGAGTTCCCAGTGTCAAGTGAATCACCCCGAGGAATTCTATTCTAACCTCAGCTCAGTCTTGAGTTCCTTCATTAAAATTGCATCTGGGGAACTATTCCGGGCTATTTATAAAGACATCTTACTTTGATTATCATACTGTACATCCGTTTTATTTGGACTCCTAGAATATCCACCCTAATTATGACTGTCCCTTAAAAATTTTATTTTATTTTATTTTATTTTATTTTATTTTTTATTTTTATTCTTTTTTTGCGGAACCAGGGATTGAACTCAGGCCCTTGCTCTTGCCAGGCAAGCACTTATTCTACTGAGCCATCTCCTAAAATTTTAATAGGTACATATTACACATGAAGCTGAGCGTTTGTGATGAGTTAAGAATTTTTCATGTAGAGTAGACATGCTTCATTGAAAGCTTCGGCACTGCTTTAGTACTGGCCCCATCTGCTATGTGCAGCAGTGATTCGCTAGGTGGGAAGGCACTGATTATGGAAGAAGTGCACCTTCCTGAGGGCCAGGTACTGTGCTAACAAGCTTCTGACATGGCATTTCCTTCCTAAGCCTTATAAATCCAAGCAGAGGCATTACTATCCAGTTTGTACAGATAAAGGAAGTAATGCTTGCTTAGGGAAACAGAGAACCTTGATGATGACCAACTGTCCAGCAAGTAGGAATGCAGAGCTGGATCCACGCATGTCTGTCCTGATGAAGCCACATGACCTCTGATCAGCACTGGATTTATGATTCCCTGAGTCATGAACAAGCAGGAGGACATGCCAGCCAGAAACTACAGTGAAAAGAAATCTGGGACAGATATCATCATCAAAGAGCAGACAGAAGGAATAAAGGCCTCAGCCAGTGTGGCATTGAGAATATTTACACACATGATTTGTGGCTCAGGCAGGCTGAGCACAGATGGACATCTGGTCTACCACACAGTGCTAAGAATGGTCATGCAGCCGGTTAGGAAAAGCTGGAAGCAGCTGTAATCACTAAGAAGGTAAGCCAGAAATAGACAGCAAAGTGCCTCGCCCAGGGTCCATATAGGTTGTGTTAAAAAGAAAATAAAACAAATCAAAAAATAAACAAAAACATTTCACAACCAACACATGTGAAATCATCAAGCAGGCTGCCATGCAGCTCTACGAAATTGGCTTAACCCTGTAAAAATCAATTACTGGGGCACATAATGAACCATAAAATCAATTTTGATTGTATCATTTACTTTAGTATGAAGAATATATAAAACACTAAAATTCTACCTCTGGAGTGCTTTGTTGGAATTAGTGCTTCACCAATAATGATTCAAAGACTCAAAAGTTATGGGTTGATTATTTGCAAAACTTGAGATTATCATCCAGAACCTCAAGCTTTCGCTCCCAGCTATTTTCTCTATGTAAACCTGAATCTGCAGATAGATTAGAATTCCAGGGTTGGACCAGACAATGCCAGGCTGAAGGCCAGGCTCGTTAGGAAGAAAAGCATTCACTTCGCTTCTGTGTCTTCTGAAGTGGTTCTCTGAGCTTTTCTTAAGATTTGAAGTTTTATTAGATTAGGGTTTAGTAGCCATTTTCTGTAAAGGCCCAGATAGTAAATATTAGAGTTAGGAGCCATTCCATGTGGCAACTCTGGAACTACTCAACTTTCCCAGAGAACATGTAAGGAAGTGGGTGTGGCTACACTCTAATAAAACTTTATTTACTAAAATAAGATCTATGGGCCATAGTTTGCTGACCTGATTTGGATGTTAAATATCTTAGAGAATATGATTTTGAATTACCTTATCATTTTTATGCCTAAACCAAATAAGTGAGAGTTTTAGGTGACAGCTAAATAAGGAAGCATGGTTAGAAAATGAATTTTCAGGCGTTCAGGAACTGGACACATCAGGAATTAACCGAACACATGAAGGAGACAGAATGCATTCTTTATAGAAAATGTATGCTGAGAACAGAAGCACTCCAAGTAGAGCACATTTCTGTTGTGATCCAGGCAAATGCTGGTCAGGAGTAAGGAGCAGTCAGGGACGGGATGCAGCGTGTGTTCAGCATGCACGAGACGCTGGGTTCAACACCAACGCCAGAAAACAAAAATGAACAGACAGACCCAAGGTGAAATCCTCACCTGGCCACTCAGCACCTAAAGAGGAGGCAAGCAGCTGCTCCAGCCGCCTGACTCTTAGGCTCGGCATTCTCAGGAAGAATTAAGGCCGCCCGTGTGTCTGGGTGTGGGGGAATCTCCAAGCACTAAGATCCAACTGGGCACAAGAGCCTTAGTGTTCCCTCAAAGGAATTCAGAAAGGAATTCCTTGGGCACACATTTTTGCAGCATGAAGATAAGAAGTACAGATTGGGTCCTGAGATTTTTCTCGACACTACAAAGACAACAGTGCCACTCCCAAATGGTGGTGAGGCAGGTGGCCCAAAGCACCAGGGACCAGACTTCCAGCCCCCTCCAGCACTGACTGCAGGTTCACAGCATCTAACCCGGGTGTGTGATACTGCAGGTTCCTCCCAATACAGAGGATCAAGGGGGTGGGCCAAGAAATAAGTGCTAAACAAAATAACCTGCAGTTTTCCAGAGGTCTGATTCTGTAGAATCTTCAGGACTGAACAGTATTTTGAATCTCATGTCACCTACCATGGAAAAAAAGGAGCCTGCCAGGAAGGGTTACATGATACACTTCTGTTACTGATTCGTTTTCTTTTCTTTTCTTTTTCTTTTTTTT